TCTTCTTTACCATCCTCTTACCATATTTCTGAATTTGTTCCGATTCCGTTGAAAAACAAGTTTTATTATGATATTATTGTTCGGGTTATCCCAATTTTCATTATGATACAAAGTTGTACCCTCATCTATTTATTAATAAAAAAAATCAGGGATTTTTCTGTGTAAAATTTGCCAATTGGCTAAACACACTTGTCATGTTTTTCTTCTATCTCAGTACAGACCCTCACATAAATTATTTCCTATTATAATTCTTAATAATATTTTCAGCCATTCTTCATATAAAAGTATTTGATTGTCTCTTTTGTTCACATTTATCAACTAAACCGCTCAAAACTTGATCCAAAATTTATCAAATGTGTTTTCCTTGCATATACTTTTAACCAAAAGTGATACAAGTGCAATTCCCCCATTACGACAAAAATACAACTCAATGGAGGTTACCTTTTTTGAAAGCCAACACTACTACCATAAATTCGATATTTAGGAGGAGAGTCCAGGTGAATATCAGACTTGGGACCCCATTTTGGATACCCGCAATGATCTAAAGTCATTAGTTATTACAACCAACTCAACTTCCCCATACTACTTTGGATATTTACACTATTCTTTAAGTCATCACAACCTATTCTCCTTTCCTCTAACCATCAGGACTCCCAATTTCTACCGGTTGAGATCATCCAACCTGAGATTGACAATTAATAACTTTGTGTGTACACTAAGAGAAAGAAATTCACTAAGCAGGATAAGAAAATAATATGCACATGATTGTTCACAACCAAGCCTAAATTCACACATCTCTGAAGTTCCAAGGGAGGTGGAATCCAGTGGAGAAGACAGGAAAAAATGAACAAACTATCCTGTCCAGGATTATTTTTCTTATGAGAGGATCTCATGAACTTATAAAAACTTTTGTAATGTAATTTTGATAGAATGCAGATACCCAAGTCAATTCATGAAGCACTTCAAAGTCTATAGTGGAAAAAAGTCGGATGATGAGGATGTCCAAGCACTTGATCTAAATGGCACATGGATCTTTACAAAGCTTCCTCCATATAAAAGATATATTGGGTACAAATGGTGTTCAATGCCAAGTATAAAATAAATGAGAGCATTGAGAGGTTCAAGGCTAGGTTTATGACTAAATATTTCACTAGGTTATGGGATAGACTATCAAGAGATCTTTGCTATAGTGACTAAGTTTAAATATTGTAAGAGCTCTTCTTTCCTTAATGAACAACAAGTGAAAATTGCATCAACTTGATATCGAGAATGTTTTTTTGAATGGAGACCTTTAGAAAGAAGTGTACATGAAATCCCACTATGATTGAAAAATGACTCAAATAAATATTTGATTTGTAATATATGAAAGTTACTTTATGGTCTCAAACAATCTCGAAGGGTTTGGTTTGATAAGTTTGGGAAGATTATGAAATCTAATGAATACATTTAATGTTAAGCGGATCAGACACTATTCATAAAGCATACACAGGGGGTAAGAATGATATACTCATTGTGTATGTAGATGATACGATTTTGACAGGTGATGATGAAAAAAAAATTGGGAAGATTAAGGAGGTCCTAGCCACTGAATTTTAAATTAAGGATCTAGTAGTGATGAGATACTTTTTGGGCATGGAAGCGGTTAGGTCCAAAATAGGTTTTATGATATCTCAAAAAAAGTACATCCCAAACTTACTAAAAGAGACAAGAATGTTGGGGTGCAAACCTATTGAAACTCCTATGAATTTCAGTAAAAAACTTACATTCAAGGGGAGAAAAGACACCGGTGGAAAAATATAGATACCAACGATTAGTGGGTAAGTCTATTTATTTGCACACATTAGATCATATATCATTTCATCTGTTAGCATTACGTGTAAACATATGAATAGTGCGAATGAAAAATATTTGGAGGTGATTTACAATATATTGAGTTTTCTTAAGAAGACCTCCTGACGTAGTATTATTGTTTAAGGATTCATATAACAGAGAGGTAGAGGTGTACATTGATGTTAGTTGGGTAGGAGAACTCACGGCTAGAAGGTTCATGTTTGAGTATTAGTTCTATGTCTAGGGAAATCTTGTCACTTGGAGAAGCTTGCAGTAGGTAGTGGTTTTGATAAGTAGTGCAAAATCTAACAATCTAACACTATGGGAATTTGTGAAGGAATGTGGATCTAAAAGTTACTAAATGTGTTGGGGTACTTCACGTTCAATCCCATAAAGATGTCCTGTGACAACCAAACCATCATTAATTTTGCAGTTGAGAAATAAGAGAATACGCTTTTCTCCCTCTTTCTTCATTTATAACATTTGATGAGCTAAAATCTCAGTGGGCAAACAATCCTAACACATGGTTTAAAATTCAAGAAAATAATATAAATATGTGGATGCTAATTTTTTGTACTAACATGACCATAATTAAATTTATATATTGCTAGCTTATCACGAAAAGCGTATTCTTGAAATTAATTATTTTGATAGTTACATGAATAAATAAGTTCCATTCCTTGAAAGTTGAAGACAACTATGGTTTAAATTTATATATCGATAGGTTCTGCCCTAACATTCATGAATCTTGTGAAGATCAATGTTTAGACTCATGAAGAGCTTAAACTCATAGTTATTATCAATGATCAATTTGCAGAGTGCTTCATTATCAGGGCACTTCTAATTGTTGTCTTCAAATAGATCCAGTTGTTGTCATTGACGTTTGAGAGAGTTGATCAGGCACTTTATCGCAATTCTCAAGGATTTTCTTTATGCAAAAGATTTTTAAGCAACAACAGATCAGGCACTTTATCGTAATTCTCAAGGATTTTCTTTATGCAAAAGATTTTTACTGTATTTTTAGAACTTAATTTTCTTTGATAGCTTCCTAAATATGATCGGCAATATAGTAAGAACTTGATGCGGAAGCTTTTCCCGCAAAGTTTTCTTGAGGTACTGGAGCGGTTACAGTACCGCGGGAAAACAAATAACTGAAGATGGATTCTGGTTGCCAAAACAGTTCCATTTTCCTTTTTTATTACTTCTTCCTATTATCCTTCATTTCATTTTAGCCCTTCCCTATGTATATGTGTGTGTTAGGGTTTGAATTAGGAGTTTTTGGTGAGTTTTCTGTTTGGATAGCCGTCGGCGTCCCTCTTCTTCTGTTTCTAGGGCTGTATCCGAGGACAATTGGTGCTCCGATTGTATCTTGCTCTGAGGTGGTGAACTACCCCCACGTCCCCTCCCTTCTTCCACCCACCTGTTCGCAGCCAACCTCTCTGCACCCCTCCCCTTCACTGCCACCTGCTGCTGTGTTGCTCGTGCCGCCCTTCCAGCCTTCCTCCCAGGTGCCCACCTATACCGGCCTCTATCCCGCCGTGAGTCTTCCCCTGGCAGACCCAAGCTTACCATACACGCAAGTTTCCTTTCTCCTATTCCTTCCTGCTGCAGCCCACCACAGCTCCCGTATTCTCGTACACCTCTCTCGGATTCCCTCCTGCTGCAGCCCGACAACAATCCCTTCACCCTACAACTGCAGCCCAACCCCATACAGCCCACCACAGCTTCCCTATTCCCTTACACCTGCAGTCACAACCCTTGCAGCCTACCACAAATCCTGCACCCAACCAGCCCCACCTTCTACGGTCCCGCCACCATCCACCACCTTTTGTCATCACCCTAGGGTGTCATTGTGTTGTGTTGTTGGTTTCTTATTTTAAGGGTTGTTTGTAACCCCTTTTGAGTTTAAGCAATAATATTTACATTTCTATTCAGAAATTTTCTTTGTTTTTGATAGTCATGGAGTTGATTAGCCTTGATGTCACCATTTTATTTTCATATTTTCAGGTCTTATTTGCCAGATATCCTTTTTTTTTCTGGTATAGTTGTTGATCCTATTAGGTAGTTATTTTTTTCTTCCTCAAATAAACATCATGGACTGTCTATTGAAGATGGTTGTGGCAATCGAGCTTGTGTCTGTGTAAAATAATTTTATTTTCGGCCCCACTAGTAGGCTAATAACCAAGCAACTCAAGTTCATAGGTGACATAAGACATTTTGGATTAAAAGGAACTAACTCATTTAATTTTCTTGTAAAAACCAGCACTATATATAGTTTAAGACATAACAATGAAAGAAAATACAACCAATTAACTTTAATTATGAGATAAGATGATACATAATTGGGACATTTACATACAAAGCATACAATTCTTATGTATTTACATATCTCACACCTAAAGTTTCATAATTACACACATAACATTTAAATCAATAATATACATAAAAAATAGCACTATTACCACTTCTTAAGAGTGAAATATAGATTTTCATGCATAAGTTCAAAGCACCAAAATGCTATGTATGTAAATATGGAAGTTTAGGTTTGAGTTATGTAAATACATAAGAATTGTGTGATGCATATGTAAATTTCACTACTTATATCATATTTTAAATCAACTATTGGGCAGGGCATGATGAAAGAAGTAGTTAAAAATTTAAGAAGGTGAAGTAGTTAAATAAATGGATGAAAATGACACTTCCCAAAACATTGGAAACTTCTTTTTTGCTTGACATTTCTGTAGTTGGTTGGCAATTTTTCGTTTCTTTATTTTCTTGATGCACTTTGCCAGCCTATAATTAACATAATTGAGTACAAACAAGCATTCAATACTTATGATAGTGGATGCAGGCACCAAAAATTCTCGTATAGCTTTCCAGCAAACTGCTATTCTTGTGTACTTACATTACTGCTTGATATGATGCCAGTTTTCTGGACAGATTAACACTTGTAAAAATAAAATGCTTGTCATGAAACTTTTTGTCATGCTGGAATTTACTGCATGTCATTTAGTTTATTCTTCCGTCTGCATTGAATTCAAATTGTTATGTTTAATTCTAAGAAACATTTGCAATGATGAATATTTATTTTTAAATGACACATGTTAATGTAGTATTTTTACATCATTCTTTTTCATCAATTTCATTTTTACATTTTTACATTTTTACAGGCTACTCGCAGTGTAGATGCTGCCAATGAAGTTTTCCGCAAAGGTATCCAACAAAATCCATGCAAATTGATTATAGAGGTCCCAACTTTACCTTTCTCCTAATAAGTGTTCTGAGTTTTACTCAATCACATCATGAGTTTTTTAACCCAGAGTTTTCCATTTATTATCTTAGTTTGTGTTTATTTGTTCATGCCACTATCATATCATTGTTTGCAGACAGAATTATAGGTCGTAGATTAACCATTGAGATTCTTGGTGTCAAGCAAATCCTTTCTCTTAAAGCATGTGTGTCCTAACATCAACGATTACAAATACACAGACAATCAAAGTGTCATTGCCTTTGTGAAGAGTATGTAGAATCATGATGAGTGTAGTCCATGTGTGCAATAAACCAACAGAACTTCCACCTCCCCTCTGCTACCCCCACACAATAGGCACACTAAAAAAAAAAAGGAAGAACGAGAAAGAGAGAAATTATCCCATTAGTTTCATTTATGTATGTGAAATTGTTGACTGCAGTATAACTCCACAATTTCGTCACCGAAACGCGCCATAATGTTGGTGTTTCTACTCTATTTGCAGTTGACACTTCTAACAGTGATTGTGAATCAACAATTCACCACTTGTGGTTGAGCTCTTTCATGTCAGCCAGTCACTATAAAAAAAAAGAGCACCACACAATGTTTATGAGAAAAATGTTGCTATATATATGTATGTGTATATATATATATATATAGCAATGTGTGGGAGGGCCCAAACATGACACCCTGCCTACTAAAAAACCACAAATGATTCCAAAACTAGAAAAACAGAAAAAAAAAATATTAGATACTTCAATAAAAAGCCTAACAGTGCAAAAATACATAGTATCAGGTGGCTAGAGAGCGACTCAATTTGGTCTTGCCTCTGCCTCTAGTTCTAAGGAAGGAGCAAGCTAATAAGCTGGTAAGATGATTGCCATTGCCAGAAGTAACCAATGTATCATCCAATATGTTCCCGAGCTAGAGTCGGCCTACATTCTTCTTCTTCCTCCTGGAATAAACCTGTCATTCCTCTTTCGAAGAATCAGTTTGATGGGGTGGTAGAGCTGAAACAGAAAAAATACCAACCATTGTACCCATAATAAGTTCTGGTATATGTGAAGTATGAGTTGCCTCTACACCGGATACTTTCGAAGAATCAGTCTGATGAGAAGTAATTAATGTTGCTATATATATATATATATATATAAAGAT